GGATGCGTTGCCACATTAATTTAAAGGTATAATAAGGACGAGGAAGGTATACCGGTTTATGGTCTTGATGCGAAAGATTTACCGGCTCATGGTCTTGATGAGAAAGATTTACCGGCTCATGGTCTTGATGAGAAAGATTTACCGCCTGATGTCTTGATGAGAAAGATTTACCGTCTGGTGGTCCTGATAAGAAAAATATACCGTCTTATGGCTTGATGAGAAAGGTATACCAGCTCATGGTCTTGGTGAGAAAGGTATACCGGCTTATGGTCTTGATGAACGATGATAAATGTCAAAAAACGTTTTTCATAACTCCAAGTTTTTATCAGAAAATAACTTACGCAAGGGAGGAACTTTGATAATTAATTGTAATTTCGCGCTATTATTGACTGGTCAAGTTTTCATCCACTCACGCACCTTCTCGCGAAAAGCCAAGTCGCAAAAATTCTAAATTATAAAATCATTGTTCCTTGACGAGAAAGAAGATCAGTAGTTCCGAGTATCGCAACTTTGCCACGGGTTATATGGAGGTAATCATGCTGCTATCTACAGCATGTGAATTGTACCGCTCAAGTTGAGCCCAAATTAAATGTATTTACCCGTCATTTTATAAACCAAAATTTAAAGAATTTTCAGCCATTACCTAAATTAGTGCAAATATCTTGGAACGTATTAGAATCAAATTTAATACTGAATCCCACAAACATTTACTCTGTAAGATATGCACAAAAAGAGCAGTTAACTAAGGACGAGCTGGAATAATTAACTGAAGAGAGCCAAGGCACGTTGAACAAAAAAAATATAAGGGCGGTGGTGGGCAACAAGGTAATTTGAAAGGAAGATCAAATACTGGGCAGCAATCATGTAAATTAGGCTTGCGGCACCATTCAAACGATCACTCATGCCTGAGGTAAACCAACTTGGCAAGGCAATCAATTCTCGGCAACTTCAAGTCGATCAATTCAAGCGGCCAATTCATAAATCAGGCAATGGCTTCATCGCGTCACAAGGTAAAGGAGATCGTGAAGAACTTCCATCGTCCGGGAATGAATTGAAGGCAACAAAGCTTTGCTTGGGTTTCAATTGGGCTCTGTAGGGCGTCTAGCCTGAGCATGGCAGCCCATAGCAATAAAACCTACCAAGCCTGGGGCTCTTGGAGGGCCCAGCAGGTGCACTATAAGAGCTTTTGGGGCATGGCATCCAGCAGTGGCTGGGCACAGCCCAGTGAGCAAACGACGAGCAGGGGCAGTGAGCGAAATATGGGCTGGGTCCAGAGGCCCAGTGTGCAACAAATGGGCTGGTGCCCAGGGGCCCAGTAAGAGAAATATGGGCTGGGACCTGTGAACAAACGAGCATGGCTTGAGCACAGTGAGCAAACGACAGGCTAGGACCACTAACCGAAATATTTGGAGATGAACTCCAACTAGCAAAATGTCAGCTGAGCCAAAACAAAATTTTTGGTTGCATCAGAGAGGGGGAATATGGGCAAATTACAGTGAGTAAATGACTTAATTTTTAGTAAAATAAGAGAGAAATGTGAGCGGTAATTTTAAAATGTTGATGGCAGCAGATATCGATATATGTATGGCATCCAGAGAGAAGGAAATTCAGCGACCACTGTGAATGTCTTCCAAAATTAGTATGCAAGAAATGCTTAAATGCTAACGAAGACATTCTGGAAACAATGGCGTTATAAATTCAGGTACCACGTATAATAAATGCAAACCCACCTTAAAATACTGAACACCACCTTTGCCACCTGGCGCGGTACAACGAAAATATCAAGTCGAGAGTTCAAATTTCAAGTGAACTTCGACTCCGCAGTTAATGTGTACCACAAATTTTAGCTCGGGATTGGAAACACGAAATTTCTTGCGAGGACAGCAGCGCAGCTCAGAACTCACCACAAAATCAGACACGCCAGAATCGAACAGCGGAACATTTTTGGTGCGATCTTTTGATCGTGAAGGCGAATAAATAACCTTGACATCGAGCAGCCTTCATTTTTAATTTCCTTTACGATGATGTTTTCTTTTGGTAACTGTCGAGTAGAAATTGAGTTCGAGATCGCAATGCACTTATTCTAGCTGCGAGGAGCTCATGACATATCACATGCTCGTAAATCAGTAAAAATCATGCACACAAGAGGCCATTCAGAAATCAAAGTATACAATTCTACTTTAGGATCACAATTAAACATATTATCAGCGCCATCATTTCTGAATATTTGTTGTAAATTATGCATTATGTGATCTGGTAAAAGGCCTCCATCAGTCAAGTCGATTGCCAAATATTGTCACCTTCCTCACGTAGCTCTGAGACGCCGTGTTCCCCCAACCAAACTGAATCTAGATGACCCACACAAAGTGCATCCCTATTTGGACAAAGTCACACTCATTTCTCTGGGTGCAAGAATGAGCACAAGCTTAGTTTCAAGTGAATGTTTTTAAAGCTAAATTAGAATAATTATATCGTTTTATGCACCAAAACAATAAAGTATACTGCATTCACCTACCTATCTTCCAACACAAAAGATAAAGTCGAAGAAAAGCTCACGTTATTCAATCGAACAAACCGTTTGTTAATACACAGCCTACCGCTCCATCGCAGCCAAGTTCTGTGATAAAACCGTTTCGTTAATACACAGCCTATCGCCAAGTTCTGATTGAAGGTTTGTGCTGTAACGATGAGCATGAACTTCAAACGACGACCGCCTCCGTCGCGCCAGTAATTGGTCGCTATTATGAGAGAAAGAAGGTGCAAATCACGTGAAATCTTCCTATTGTGTGAAGCCTGTCTCTCAAGTAATAGCTTTGAGACGATGAAGAGAACTATTGAAGTTCTAAGATACAGTGATGCTCCATCAGTAGAAACTATGCAGCATGACTCCCAAACTATGCAGCAGGACTCCCAAACTATGCAGCAGGACTCCCAAACTATGCAGCATGACTCCCAAACTATGCAGCAGGACTCCCAAACTATGCAGCAGGACTCCCAAACTATGCAGCAGGACTCCCGAACTATGCAGCAGGACTCCCAAACTATACAGCATGACTCCCAAACTATGCAGCATGACTCCCAAACTATGCAGCATGACTCCCAAACTATGCAGCAGGACTCCCGAACTATGCAGCAGGACTCCCAAACTATGTAGCAGGACTCCCAAATCTTTTCCATGAAAACGTGATTTTTGTGGAATTTTCATTGCTCTCAAATTCGAAGCAAATTAACGATTTAAGTAATATTGGTACTGGTTAAATTTTAACACTAAAATTAGCTTGCTATGCATAGTATCTAGCAGATTATACTGTATATCTAGCTATAATGTGCGTCTGATAAATAGAATTTAATCTAAAACGAGAGACTGGATGGAAAAAATGCTCATTTCCACCAGAATTGAGGCACTTGTATATAGGCCTAATAACTTGGCTTTATAACATTGCCATGTTAGCAGTAACTTCTGCCAGCTAGCGCAGTTTAGGAGCAGATATGTCCTCACAACAGAGCGTATAAATATAATTTAATTTTATTCTCAAAAACCATGTAAAGAACGATAAATATCATCCGCTACACAGATGTAGAAACGACTACATGCTATTTCTAGTGTAATGTATAGTTTAATTATATATAACATTGACAAGATATATGGGGACCCTGCCAGAGCGAAGAGATAAGCTGTATTGAAGCAACGGAGCTACTACAATACAGAGGCCGCAATAATTCATGCGTCCAGCATGGATCCATCCAAAGGTTTCTTAGCGACCGAATGATTTCTTACGGTGAATAACAGAATTAAACAGTCGGCCGGTAAAGCACCAGAGCCCGGATGTCAGCAGCAACGCTGAGGCTGAAGTATTGCATTCATAAATTCTCAGCCTTGCCAGATCAAAGATGATGGTTGCGGATCTGCCTGGTAAGATCTCGGCTGCCTTCATTGATACAATGAGCCTTCTTTGCCGCTGGGGATCCCTATGGTGACTTCTCTGGCACCTATACGTATTTCTACTAGGAGCCTTTTTTTCTTGCAACCAACTCTCAATAAAGTAGGTTATCGAGACTTCTTTGCAGCAACGATCATTGATGCTTTCACAGACAACGCAAGCCTTCTTTCCACCTTAGTGCCTTCCTTGGCAATAAGAGCCTTCTTTGCACTATAAGCCTATTTTTGCACCAGCCATCCTGGGTACCTTCGCTAAGTTCCATTTCAAAATTGAATTGTTTTCTACTGAATGGCTTGTCAGCGATGAATTTTTAGCTAAAAATTAAAAAAAAACGAGCCTATTTAACTTCGAACACATTTCAGCCATTACGACCGTCTGCTAAAATTGTCGATATCTGAACTCGGAATTCAATTTCGACAGTCAGTAGATTTTTTCTAATGGGGCGCGTGTGTTCTGAATACCACATATTTTATGTTTCAGACTCTACTGAGTCTTATATATGGTAATTTTAACTTAATTTCCAAGCCGGTCAATGTTACCCCATCACAGCTGCCATTAGGTGGTCACATTTTGGTATTATTCAGAAAAACTCGTGGCCGCTAAGAAAATGAATAAAATATATTAAACAAAATTAGTTCGGCGGTTTAATTAATTCACGAGATGAGCGACGGGAATGCAACGCAATTAACAAGAAAAAGCATTCTAAAAGAGAAATATTACCGCGATCGCTTGTGTACGGAACTAAGGATAATGACGAGACCAAAATATCAGCGCTGATCGTTGAAATAATGCCCGTGTACGAAATAATCCCCTTAAACTAGAAAGAAGAGCATGTCAATCCTACTGCGACATTTAAAACCTTCTAACTGCGACATTCCTCGAAACTTGAAGTAAAAAAATGCGGAACAGTAAAGGAAAAAAGTTCAAGAGATACCTAATAAAATCTTGGAGTGGAGTTCACATTTCTTCTTCAATGTTTTGTACATTGAGGGTATCCTAAAATACGTGTAACTTTGCGCCAAACTCGTTTGCCATCAGACACGGTAATCATCAACTGAAATGCAGCTGGTCATGGGCAGGTAAAAAATGTCGGAAAACCAGCTATTTGCCGCAAATTATTAGACATTCTCAATTTTCATTCAGTAGAAGTAAATAATTGTACTTACCCCGGATAAACAATATTCCCGCGTTCGATGATGCAGCTGAGGGTAAAAGTTAGCACAGTCTTCTCACTAAATCCGAGCGTTAATTGTATCTGTTTCTGAAACTCTTGAAAGCCATGACAGCCGCGACCGCGTCGGATTGCTGGACAGTTTAACTCACGGCGGTACGGGAGCTTCATACGCACTCCTCCCCTCACGAAGTCTGATGCCACACTGAGGTTGTACGCGCGATGCACAAAAACTTCACAGCGTCACAGGTACACAACTAACCTGAATGGAATTCCTATAGGCTGAACAGTGAAGGCGGCGATCTAAAATACTTGCAATTATATACACCTCGGATGAAGTCTTTCATGGATTCATTCCATGCATAAGCAAGCACAAGTACTAGTATGACATTTGAAAATGTTACAGGGATGAAAATATTATTAAATTAAATATCGTTTGATAATTTCAAACTTTCCAATCAAAAATGAGCGGCGGGAAAAACCTTCGCGATTTTATTCATACATTTTATTTTTGTTCATTTTAGTTTTGCTGTGAAATATTATCTTAATCCTGCTCCTACAATGATCTCATTGACTTGAGATTTCATACGAGGTCTAAAGATACATGAACTGCTATCGCTGTCTGCTGGTGTGCGTGTAAAAATAGTACGCAAAACTATTAAATTGCGAACATTTTTAAGGAATTGCAGCACGGCAAATGTCAAGAAACTTTAATTGCAGTTATTGTGTTAGACGGCAGCCATGTTCTACGCTGGTAGTTAAGACGGCAGCCATGTTCTACGCTTGTAGTTAAGACGGCAGCCATGTTCTACGCTGGTAGTTATGGTCTTTGATGGAAGCCATGCACTTCATGCAATTGAGGTTATGGTTATAGATCGTAGTGAAGATCATTGAAGGTTATGATGGCTTTTGATGGTAGTAAGAGTCCAATTGATGATAGAAGCGGTCTTTGATGGTAGCTATGGTCTTGGTCTACGTCTCGATAAGTCCAGTTTTTCTATTATCTTGACAGCAACCGAAAAATCTGTTTTTTAATAACGAATAGATTTGTTATTCGTGTGTGGAAGACATATTCCTTCCGCATTCTTACCGATAACTTTTACTTCGTTTGTTCTTCGCTGAGCATCTCCGCTCGAGCGTCACATATATTGCAGTTCATGAGTTCTCAAGAGAACCTCAGCGTAGTTTTATTCGTAATTTGTTCTTATTTGTTAGAGGGGGGCACTACCATCATGCCCATCACTACCATCATGCCCACCACTACCATCATATCTAACACTACCATCATGCCTTAGTATCCTTAGTATCCTTAGTATTTGTTTGGGACACAGCAGTCCCAGGCCACGATGGATCGCCGCCTCTGATTATCGTTCATCCGCCCTCATTTGGGCCACCTGATGCACGATGGTGTTGCTTGCTTCTCGCCGCTGGTAGTGTTGCAGGGGCGGTCGATCTGGGATTGTGCTCAGGAACACGTCTAGCTGTCTCTTGAAGGTCTCCAGGGTGAACTCCCCCTCTCTTAGATCCCTTGGTAGGGCGTTGAACAGCCTTGTTCCTGCCACGGAGAGTGATCCTTCTCGCAGGGATTGAAATCTGACTGCGGATCTGTTATGCAGGGGAGGGATCTTGCACAGTCTCCCCCTTCTCTCGTTGTGATATGTCTGAATCTTGAAGGTCTCGCTCTCGAAGTTTGGCACCATTCCGGTTATCATTTTCCATGTGTACAGAATAACATACCTCTCCCGTCTCCTCTGCAGTGAGTACAAATTCAGTCGCTGTAACCTCCCCCAGTAGTTAAAATTCTCCATCCCTCTGATCCTGGAAGTAAAGGTTCGTTGGACTCCTTCCAGTTGCCGTATTGCGCCTAGTGTGAACGGAGTCCAGAGCTGGCAGCAGTATTCAAGGATAGGTATTACAAGGGCTCTGAAGAGTGTGATCATCGGTTCCGCTTCTCTCGTTCTGAACGTCCGCCAGATCCACCCCATCTGTTGTCTACCTTTTGCGGTGCCCATCACTACAATCATGCCCATCACTACCATCCTGCCCATCACTACCATCATGCCCATCACTACCATCATGCCCATCACTACCATCATATCCATCGCTACCATCACACCCATCACTACCATCATGCCCATCGCTACCATCATGCCCATCACTACCATCATGCCCATCACTACCATCATGCCCATCACTACCATCATATCCATCACTACCATCATGCCCATCACTACCATCACACCCATCACTACCATCATGCACACTGTTATCTCTCACCATATACCATGTATCAGTGTAACTGTTATCACAAATAACAGATATAGAACTCTGTTCCTGGTCGATTAAGAGCTTTGTTCTAGCGTCTCTATAAAGGCAGATGAGTAATACCTAAAATTTAGCGACCCAATTCTGAAGAAAACATAGTCCATCGTTCAGTAATAGCCTAAGCAGCAATAAACAAGACTCATGATCCTATTATTCCTGCGAGTTATAATTGATGTGACTCGTATTACTCACGCTCTGCGGATCAAATTATCGAGATAAAAACACGTTCCTGTAATCAAACTTTTATTCAATTTCCGCCATACATCTGTTGTTGACAATGCTTCTATGTCAGCGGTGATTGTTGCGTACGTCTGACACGTACGTCTGGCACGTACGTCTGACACGTACGTCTGACACGTACGCCTGACACGTACGTCTGGCTCGTACGTCTGGCTCGTACGTCTGGCTCATACGTCTGGCCCGTACGTCAGGCACGTACGTCTGACACGTACGTCTGACACGTACGTCTGACACGTACGTCTGACACGCACGTCTGGCACATCCTAACGTTTGCTATTAAATATATGGAGGTGAAGAGCCACACAACAGGAGTGGGTCTGGCTTGGTTAATTAGTAATCAATTGTAACCCGGACCGCTCTGCCGACCATCAATGAGTGGCCGCCGATGAACGGTCGATAATTTCCAGTGTCAGTTTGACTGACAAGCTACCAATGCAACGATGTTGTATCACTTTAGTTTTAGTGTGAGTTTTAATGAACTATTTTAGTTGGCAAGAGAAAGATTCACTGTTCTGTCGATGCCCTGTTGGTGTTTACCGTATTGTTTAATCAGACTGGAAATGAGTAATTGAAGCAAGAACATTATTTAAAATCAACCATTAACATGAAAAGCGACTTTCTAGAATAATTTCTTTGCTCGAATGATATTATTCTTAATTGAACTTTGATCCTCAATAATTGTTCTATTACTAATGTTGACTTTGACGCGACCCTTAGACCATGAAAGCAACAACTGCTCAGCTTCAGCCACCATTTGCTGCCTTTCGAGTTAATTTAAAGCTTATATTTGCCCCGCTGATATGATGATACAATCATTCCACGTCGTGATGATGATACAATCATTCTACGTCGGGATGATGATACAATCATTCTACGTCGCGATGATGATACAATCATTCCACGTCGCAATGATGATACAATCATTCCACGTCGCGATGATGATACAATCATTCCACGTCGCGATGATGATACAATCATTCTACGTCGCGATGATGATACAATCATTCCACGTCGCGATGATGATACAATCATTCCACGTCGCGATGATGATACAATCATTCCACGTCGCGATGATGATACAATCATTCCACGTCGCGATCTTCTCTTAGTGGCGACGTCTTTCCTAACAGTTCAATTGGAGACAATGCGCTGGACTACAAATGGAATTATTATAGGCTGTATTTCCGCGCCGGATTTTACAGTTGAGAGATCTCTGAGAATAAAGTGGGTACTGCAACGCTGTCTCCGGTCATTATTTCCTTCTAAATCTCAGAATTGAAAATTTGCAGGTCCCTAAATTTTCTCGTACACAAAACCTGCACCGAAAGTCGCGATATATCAGTTATCATTCAAGTCCGTTATTCCGTAGCAGCAGCATAAGTTTGTTGTGTAAATTTGTTATTCATAAGATTCGAAAACTTGAAACAAACATGTTTATACGACTCAATTCAAAAAGTGTTTATTTCCATTTGATTAAATGAAATGTTATTTATCTGCTGTTGTGTAAGCTTCAGTTACTGCAAGGCATGTGCTGTATTAATACAAAAAACACATCCGCGACCTACGAATCCTCGCTGTATAACAATAGTAATAATGATTACCGGAATTCCAGTCGAAGACTTTCAGTATTCAAATGAACTACTATATAAAGATGATGATAATGACTCGGTGCTTGGAGACGGAGAATTCTTCATCACTCGCCGCCTTTGAAGCGTTGCCTTAATTTGATGCCATGTACGGAATAGAAAGATGCTTCAAACGATGGAAAATGTTTGGGTGTCCCTAAAAGTAACAACAATGACTCGTATATAGGATCTAGATACGATCCTGTCTTCAGGTATGGCAGCCTCAAAACGGCCGAGGAGCGTCCGACATGCAATCCTGTAAGATCCGAAGAATATTGAAGCGCATTCGTTGATCAATTGACGATAGTTGCACACACACGATGTGCGCGTAGCGCTCTTGTTTCGCCGACACTAAAATACTAGAGGAAAAGTTTATAAAGAGATCCACGAAAAAATTGCATAGTAAAATACAAGTTTATAATCGCGTGATTTATGACCAGAGAATTCGTTATTATCAGGGAATGGAACTTTTCTTCAGATGACGGTATATTAAAAGGAGAGTTTCAGGAAGTAGTTTTTGTTCATTAACGACGTTTCGAATGCAAACAACATTATAATATTATGTTTAACAAATAACATTATAATTATAAACCACTCCCGGATAATATAAATCAACGAATCTCTGGTCATCAATCGCGCGTGTATAAACAAGTAAATTCTGTCATCTAATACTAAAATATAAGTTAGTACGAAGTAGGAAAGCGATACATTCTGTATTCCATATTCTGGCCGACTCTGTCATTTCAGAGCGAGTTCCTTTCGAGAACAAGTGTACAAGCGCACTACGTAGTTCAGCAGCAGTAGTACTCTAGATGGTAGGGAGTAATGTGGTGAGGGGAGTAATGGGGTGAGGGGAGTAATGGGTAAGGGGAGTAATCGGGTGAGGGGTGATGTTGAAGAGAAGCTTCAAGAGATGAGCAACGCGCGGGTGGTTCCCAGTGTGGGTGGTCCAGGTACATCCAACGAACGTACGCACTCCAGTTCTGACCTGGCGGCGGCACAAGCGCTCTCTGGGGTGACAAGCTTCATCATACTTCGTTTTGGTCCAGCCTTGGTGGCTGATGTCGGGGCATCACAAGAAGTGTTGGGTCGTAAGATATGATGCCGCTCACCGACATGTTTCGTAAGCAAGATGCAGCTACATCGTATTGCTGTGCGGCTGTTGGACGTAGCCAATGCAACCTGGAATAAGGTAATCACGCGTGAAATAAACATTGCACCAGAACGAGTGTTGTGTTTGATTAACTGCGGCACCGACATGTTGTGTTGTCGTGGACATGGCAAGGTGAAGCTTGGAGAGCGACGAGGCTGGTGGTCTATACCGGCTCCTCTCATCTGCTCTACCGGCTCATCTCATCTGCTCTACCGGCTCCTCTCATCTGCTCTACCGGCTCCTCTCATCTGCTCTACCGGCTCCTCTCATCTGCTCTACCGGCTCATCTCATCTACTCTACCGGCTCCTCTCATCTGCTCTACCGGCTCCTCTCATCAGCTCTACCGGCTCCTCTCATCTACTCTACCGGCTCCTCTCATCTACTCTACCAGCTCTATGCGTAATGCAGGCAATGATCGCACTACCCCGAACCTGACCGCTCATTTAATATCTTCAAGGCCACAGAACCGACAATCAAATTAATGCAAGGCGGGAGAGGCTCGGCAGTTTGAAATTAGAACATCACATCAAATCTTGAATGTACAAAAATACTCAACCCTCCTTGATATGCATTAATAGGAAATGATTAAAAATGCTTCTTGAATTACTTCTTATAACTTAATTCTCTCTTTAAAGGTAAGCGTTCATAAGAGAGATTTAGGAGATGACGAGAAGTGGAGCTACTGAATTTTAAGAGGTACTGAGAAGTGGAGATAGCTATTATTATTTCGACTGCTGCAGATGACGCTTCTTATTAAAGATTTTTATCAAAATTTCAGTAAAGACGCACTCAGCTTCGGGGACGCACTCAGCTGTCATTCTTGATGATAAGCACGCTAAACTTGAAACACAAATTACCAGGGTTCCTTTTTAGTTGATTAGGTTCATTATCTTACTTACAGAAGTTTTTATTTTGCGTTAACATTTGTAACATTCCTCAAAATGAAGCCATATCTTTACAGCATCACTATGAAACATTTTTTCCCTGTGAATTTTCAGGCTTAAATATTTACATTTTAATACACATAATAGAGAAAATAATTTTTAAACATCGCGAAAGCCTGGACTAAGAAAATCAAATTCTGAAATATGGAGCAAAAACTTTTCAGTTGAAATTAGTATTAGTGAAATAAATTTGCCTTGTATTATAGAAATAATCAATAGTCGATTGTGTAGATTAATGATGGTTTTAGACTTTATGAGATGCCACAAAGATGCTGTAATCACTTTATAACGTGACTTATACGAGTATCCTTGTGTAACATTCAAATGTGCATCCTTGTAGTTCAAGTAAATCGATGACATAATTTTGTCCGGATGGCTTCAGACCTACTTGAATGATAACTGGCATGCATGTTCAAGCAATTCAAATCCTGCAACAGCGATTCTTGGCTGGATGGCAGCTGATGGTTCATAGTCTTTGTGAAGCAAGGAGGAACTGAGGAACAGTTGAGTTACCGTGATGAAGGATATACCGGCCTCTGGTCGCGGTCATCCCTCAACATTACAGCGATCATTAGGCCAGGCTGGGGCTCCCTTCCCAGGCACATTGACAACAAGTGCTTCTATTGTCACCACGTCAGACCTGAATTCTTACTTGGAATAAGATTGTTGAAACATGGGCGGACAATCGTCGGCCACGGTGTGGCCACCATTAAACCTACTTACATTTTCGATATGGATGACAAGGCGACCGTGTGCACTTGACTTCCTAGCTATGGTGGAAGGCTCTTTCATGGATCTTTTATGAACTTGGATGCCAAAACGTATTGTGATTAATCACTGAAAATGATTTAACATAATAAGAAATATTATATGTGTCTGAAATGTCGGCCTAACACTAGAGAATTTGGTTGAGCTCTTTAACAATAATTGTTGCGCTAACTCAACCAACTCAAGTGATACAAAAAAATATAACTCAGTACTCACTGCATTGAGTGACAGAGAGCGCATTTTCTCGTCGACGAAAACTTGAGGTCACGGACAGAAAGACGGACAGACAGACAGACAGACGGACATGGCGAACACAATAGTGTATTTTTTCTATAAATGAGAAAATGCACTAAAAATTAAATTTATTTTTATTAATAGAAAAGAAGAAGATTCTTACACTTCAAGTATCTAACCCAAGAATCTTGTCCAATTGACTGAATTATCTGAGAGCATAAAATCTTCATGATTGCCAGCCAGTTTTGCAAAATATTATTATTTGGGTGAAACTTGCTGGTGCTCAATGTTTCAATGTTTGCTTGTACATACTCACAGACTCGCTCTGTATCATTTCGACCATCATTCTTCAACCATCAAATTCTAGAAAATGGACGAAGCTCGAAACAATTTACGGACAAAGCATCATTTAGTTGCAATAAAAGCAACATTTCCTTGCTAGGCGACGCCTCAGCTTGCAGTTCGCAGAGGAACAGCAAGGATCTGGTGACACTTGAACTGGTTTCATGGCTTCAGTCGCCGCTCATAAATGACGTAAATGCGCCGTTGTCAATTAGTCATACTGCTGCCTCACTGACAGTTGTTGCCATACTGCAACTGATAACTGTTATATTTTAAAATAATTAAACTATGCCGAAACTTTATGATGACAAATCCTTTTTCCGTAACGCTGAATGAATTTTTCCTGACGTCCGTGGTTTGACCTTCAAATCTTGCACTCAGAAATGATCGCAATTTTCTATCTCAGCGCCCAAATATCCATGACAAAATGGAGCGATCGAAAGATCCATATTTCTGGAATCTTGGAGGACGAATTTAATGCGCTAGCACATCACGAATTCGCAGCGCCCACGTGAGCTACACTTCGTGACCGTCGCCACGCATTCGTCGCAGTCCATCTCACGCAGCGCAGGCCACGCAACTTCGTGACCATCGCCACGCATTCGTCGCAGTCCATCTCACGCACTGCAGGCCACGCAGCTCCGTGACCATCGCCACGCATTCGTCGCAGTCCATCACACGCAGCGCAGGCCACGCAACTTCGTGACCATCGCCACGCATTCGTCGCAGTCCATCACACGCAGCGCAGGCCACGCAGCTCCGTGACCATCGCCACGCATTCGTCGCAGTCCATCTCACGCAGTGCAGACCACGCAGCTCCGTGACCGTCGCCACGCATTCGTCGCAGTCCATCACACGCACTGCAGGCCACGCAGCTCCGTGACCGTCGCCACGCATTCGTCGCAGTCCATCTCACGCAGTGCAGCCACGCAGCTCCGTGATGTTCTCCAGCAAAACTCGAGCGAAGAGAAACATCGCAATTTCTCACGGTCTCGTCTGCTCTGCGAAGATTACTGGCTCGGTAAAAATGCAAGAACAATTTAGAAAAGTAGCTTTTCTGTTCGACGCTATGGAGGAAACCTACACCCAACTTGCAGTAACGAAATGCCCCCAACTCATTTCTTATGTAACATTTTCCATTATAAATAAATTCATGTATGCAGGTGAATCGTAAATTACCCACATATTACTTTTTCCACGTCAAAAACATCGAATAGCAGCAAATGAAAAGCAACGTTTTTAGGTTTTCACCTAAGACCGCCATTTTTAGTCCACTACCATCTCATTCAACAGGACGGCCGTATGATTCAAGATACCAATCGCGTCTCTGTCAGAGTGTCAATTATTGTGTCACTTATTCGACTGCGCGTCGCGTCCTCCTCAGAGTGTCATTTAATTAATGTGTCACTTATTAAAACATTATCCCGAAGTCTATTACTGCACGTAAGGCTCACACAATGCATGGCTGGCTCAAGAAGCTCTCAGCAGGAGAGCACCGTTGGCATTCTGCACTGCTTGTCATTATTCTGCATCAGGGTCAGCATTCTGCACAACTTGCCATTATTGTGCATCAGGGTCAGCATTCTGCACAACTTGCCATTATTCTGCACCAGAGTCAGCATTCTGCACAACTTGCCATTATTCTGCACCAGGGTCAGCATTCTGCACAACTTGCCATTATTCTGCACCAGGGTCAGCATTCTGCACTACTTGCCATTATTCTGCACCAGTGCCAGCATTCTTCACTACTCCTATTTCGACGCATATTTCGTAATGCACACTATGAATGCAAGTAATAATGCATTACTTAGCAATAATGCTAAGTAATGCGCACTAGGACAAATACAAGTAAATTTAACTGAAAATGCATCAATGAGCCTAAGAGCCACTATTTCTGCACGATCTATGAAGATCGTTAGTGTTTCTTTCGTGGTTAAACTAATACATGCCGACGTGTTAATTTAAATTCCTACGTCGACGAGAACACAGACTTAAGAACAGGCGAATAAGAGCCTTAAAATTTAATTAACTCAGAACTGATGCTTGCCATTGGTGTGAAATGGAATATAGCTTCGCTTGTTAAGTCTGTCGTCACGATAGCTGCTGGGATTAGAAATACCTCGTATATTGACCTGTCGAATATGATGAGTGAAGAGAAGGATGGAAGCGTCATCTGTCACTGCATCAGCAGCCATCAATCAAACCATCAACCGCCATCAACCAATTCATCAGCCAAAATCAACCAATTCATCAAGTGCCATCAACCAATTGATGAACTGAGATCAACCAATTCATGAACTGCCATCAACCAATTCATCAACCGTCATCAACCAATTCATCAACCATCATCATCCAATTCATCAACCATCATCATCCAATTCATCAACCATCATCATCCAATTCATCAACCGCCAAATAATTTATTAGACCAATCCATCAACAGCCTTCAGCTAGTTTATGAAGTTCGGCCAGGTTTTTCGTGTATTATAACCCCATTTATCAATCATTCTTAGAAAATAAATAACATCATCATTTAATTCCTTACCCGTCCCGCCCCTCACACTCCTGCTATGTCCCACCCTGCTCCACGCCCCACCCTGCTCCATGCCCCACCCTGCTCCATGCCTCACCCTGCTTCAACCCCCACCCTGCTCCATGTCCCACCTGCTCCACGCCCCACCCTGCTCCATGTCCCACCTGCTCCACGCCCCACCCTGCTCCATGCCTTACCCTGCTCCACGCCCCAGCAGCTTGGGTGGCCTCGAAGCTGGTGCCCGCAGGACGCCAGGCGCAGGCCTCCACTCCTCCCACCCGCTGTCAGCTCCACTCACTCCCGACGGCTGTCAGCTCCACTCACTCCCGACGGCTGTCAGCTCCACTCACTCCTGACGGCTGTCAGCTCCACTCACTCCCGACGGCTGTCAGCTCCACTCGGCCTTCCCTCCCTCTGTCAGCTCCACTCATTCCCGGCGGCTGTCAACTCCACTCACTCCTGACGGCTGTCAACTCCACTCGCTCCTGACGGCTGTCAGCTCCACTCACTCCCGACGGCTGTCAGCCATACTCTGTACCACATTATAGCTGCTGACATCAACACTCTTCTCTTACCAAGCTG